GCCGCCGCCTTCCGCCCCATGGGCCCCGCGGGTCCCGCGGCTCAGTACCAGGTGAGGAGGGCGGGCGGCGCCGCGGGGCCTGGAGAGGGCCCTGGGGGAGTCCCTGCACCGAGGGCCCCAGGGCCTTGGAGGAGGCGGAGCCGGCGGGGGGTCCGGCCGGGGGCCTGGGTTTGGGGGAAAGGGACTGTGGGGTTGAAGCAGTGGGGAGTGTCCAGGGGCTTCTTGGCACCGGAATTCCGAGTAACACGAGACGCGAGCGTCGTGGGAAGGAGCTAATGAATTGTGCGGACGGGTTGAGAGGTCTAAGCCAGGTCCTAGGCTGGAGGTTCCTGAGGTGATGAGAAAGTTTTGGAAAAGGGTCGCACTCAGAAAGCAGGGTTCCCCTGCACTGGCCTCGGTCCCATTCCAAGTCTGCCCTGTTTTGTTTGGTTTTTTAAGTCCTAGTTGGGAATTGGCAGATCTCTAGCATGTTTGAGATGGCTCCCAGCTGCTAGTAGGAGGAAGGAGGTGTCCCACAGCACAGGCGGGCCCAGGAGCCCCAGCCCGGATGAATCCACGTGAGATCAGATCCACGTGAGATCAGAGACGGTGGTGCCCAGCCTGAGGAGGGCCCAGCCCAGCTGCAGACCACTTTGCTCCTGGGCTTTCTGCCTGATGTCAGTATCCAGGAGTTGAGTCTGGAGCAGCAGAACGGGGCAGAATGGCTCCTCCGAGAACCTGCTGGTCCTAGGGCTGCAGGAGCCTGCGTTCGCAGGGGTTGCTTCAAAGAGAACTATTTTGACCTCTCAGGCTTCAAAGAAGAGAGCGTCTCAGGTTGCAGCTTCAAAGGCCATTGAGAGGCAGAGACTTGCTTCTTGTGGTCATTGTGTGAACTCGGCCTGCCTCTGCTGGTGGGGCTCCTCAGGCCTCCAGTGTGCTCTTTGAGGTTTTCCCCAGAATGCTTGGGAATTGGGACTGGCCTTTTTCCAGCTTCTTTCCCCTTTTATTTAGCTCCCAGGTTCTGACAGCGCCATATACCAGCCCATGCGCCTGAACCCGTGTGGGCCTGGGCTTCTTGCTAATGTCCCAAGGCATGTGTTGCTGCCTTCTCTGTTCTCTCCTGGTATGTCCAGGTAGAACTTCCGGAAATGTATCCTCATGGAATGTACATATCCTGCCAAGACCCCCCAAAACCTCACTTTCTAAGGAGATGCTTCCTTGGGGATACTGAATTTCCCTTATTCCTCATCCCTCCTCTCCTTGCTGAAAAGAAAACAAAGGGTCTGAGAATGAGATGAAACAGACCCGGTCCTAAGGTTCCCGCTGGGGTCCATCTTCCCATCGTGCTCTCTCCCTTGGGGATCCTGGGCCCAGGATGTTGGTGTGGGGTCCTCGCATCAGTTATTCCAGTCCTTGGGTTGGTCACCTGAGACCTGGCCTAGAGCTTCCTGTTGGCCTTTTGGCCTTGGAAGGACCTGGAACCTGCAGAAGCCTCTCCAGTTTTCTTGGCATGCTACCCCTAGAAAGTGTGCCCTTGGGAAAGCCCCTGCAGGGATGGATTCCACAGTTTTGTAGGAGGGGAGTGGCCTTGGGCTTGTGGCAAGGCCAAGCTGGTTGGCCAGATAGCCTCGGGGAAGCGGATGGTTCTAAACCCTGGGTTACCATCCCTCCAGCTTCTCATCTCCGTCTCCTCCCTTCCCCTTCCTCCAGACAGGGGCAGGAGCGGTACATGGGAAGAACCAGCGAACTTAGGTTGAGTTTGAGGGAGATGCTGCTGCCCTCTTTCAAGTCCAGTCGTATGACTTCCAGGAGAAAGACTTGTGGTCTGGGGAATAAGGGGGTTTCTGTCTGTTAGAGCTCATGAGCTGAGCGGGAAGAACAAGGGTTTGAGGACCCAAGCTGGAAAAATAGGGGACCCAGGGACCTGAACTGTAAGCAGCTGAAAAAAGTGAAGTGGTGGCCCGTCTCCCTGCAGAGGGTGGCTCTAGATAGATGTTGGATCACAGTCAACTGAAAAGCTCAAGAAAAGCAACAGAAACAAAACAAAACAAAATGAACAAAAACACATAGATTGCTGGTTCGCTCTAGATTTCAAAATACTTTCTATTCATGGGGTAGAAGGAATATATTCTCCACCCAAGGCCTTTAGGCCCAGCTACCAGGAACTTCAGGCCACAGGCTTTGGGGTGAGGCAGGGCGTGCTCACCTGAATCCTAGATTCCTCACTTCTAGGTGGCGGCAGCAGCAACCCCATTCTCCGCCTGCATGGCTGTCCTGAGAGTGTGATAGGGTCGGGCTTAGAGTGTAGCCAGGTGCTGGACCTAGGGGAGGAGGTGGCTGCATCTTCTGGGTTTCCGAGGTTTGAGCCAGGCCTACCTAGCTAGCCGTGCTGCGGGCAGGAGGCTGAGAGTTTGGGGCTTTGGATTTTTTTCCCTTTCTTTTCTACTCCTGTTTTACTTTTTTATAAGGGGGAGGAGTTACTGGTGCTTCAAAGCCCAGGTGTAGAGCTTGGCAGTGTTTGGCTGGACTTGATGAACTGTAAGCAGCCTTCCCCTGGGGCCCTGAGTGAACTAGGGGCTCCGAGCCGGCAAGCCTGAAGCAGATGTCTGGGTGGGGCCTATTCTAGGTCTTGCCTGTGCTGCTCCGTCTTGGGATTTCCTGTTGCTTGAGCACCTGCCCTGGAGGTCTGGGTGGTGGTGCAGGTTTTGTGAGCAGCTTCTTGGGGACCACAGGGCCCTAGTTCACACTCTGCATTTCTTCCCTTTGTCTCAGGCACTGGGAAACACTTAAGTCTGGGATGTCTGGTCCAGGTTTACAGCTTGGACCACACTGAGGCCCCCCCACTTCTATAATCTTGGCCATGGCTCATTAAGGCAGAGAAACTGGCTGACTTTTGCCTTTCAGCAGCCTTGATGAATCTTTTCCTGATGGGGAGAAACTTGTGGCAGGACTCCCGAGGTCCCACAGCTCCTCACTTTTAACTGCTCATTCTCCAAATGCTTCCCTGCTCCTTTTGACGCCCTTCCCATTCTCTGGGTCGTGCTTCTCCCAATGTCTGCGTCTGGTCATGAACCTGACCCCCTGTGGGAGACATGAGTTTGGTAGTAGACGAAAAGGTGGGAGAGAGGCCCCCCTCCAGGATGCTGGGGTGCGAGAGGGTCCTTTGATTTGGTGCAAGTCTCCACCCAGCTTGGCTTGGTTGGCTGGTTGTGCTGGTTGCATAATCTGGGCCCTGGGGCCAGCCCTGTGAAGCTGCCAGGGACAGAGTGTGCGAGGCAGAGCTGCCAGACAGGCCTTGCAGGCAGCAGCCGTAGGGCGGGGGTTGGGGTGCAGGGGTTACTCCTAAATGGAGTAACAAAAATGTTGGGGACCTGGGCCTTGGGTGGGAAGTCCTTCTTTAGAAAAAGACTGAAAACAAAGAAAACGACATTATTTCAATTAAATCAGGCTGCTGCTGCTGCTGCTGACTATGCCCTCTGCAGCTTGGATCTCATGATGACTTTATCTTCATTCTCCAGCTTGGACTGTCTAGCCATGGTGGGAAACCAGTTGTTATCAGTGCAAGCTCGGAAGGGTTCGCGTCCCTGGCCTAAGGTTAAGTTGAGCCAGCAGCAGGCCCCGCTGCCAGGTGGGACCTGGACCACAGGCAGCGTCCAGGTGTTTGCCACTGTCTCCTAGGGCCCCTAGGAGCCATAGCTTCCCTTTTGGGGTCTTCTGGCAGAGGGGTAGGGGTACAGCAGTGGGGCGGTGAGAGAAGGGCCGAGCTCTGATGGCAGATAGGGGACATATGGTGACCAGATGGTCTGTGTGCTTTGCCTGGTGCCACCCCCACTAGCTGGGGTGTGTCCAGGCCATCCTGTTGCAGTTGCTTATCTGCGGTGCTGCGGCCGAACGGGCTTGCCGGACCAGCGAGTGCCTCTCTCCCTCAGTCACAGCACAGGGGATGATGCTGGGGCTCTGCCCCCTCACCCTGCTTGTACCCTTCTGTAGCCCTTCACTGGCTGTGACATTGGCTGCAGCCTCACTTGTACTGTGCTTCTCTCTGGAGATGGGGTCGGGAGCCAGTGCTTGGTGGGACCACCTGAGGGCCTTAAGAGTGCCCGAAAGCTGCTGGTCCCAAGAAGTGTGGGACAGCACGTCAGGGCTGGACGGCAGCGCTGGATCCGGAAGAACTCCACAGGCCCTTCCTTCCCTCAGCGGGCAGGGCTCTCCTCCCACTCCTGGGCCCTGGGAGCCTCATTAGCTGGCACCGCTGCCAGGGCGGTTGCAGGGGTGGGGCTGGTGTGGGTTACACTCTGTGTTCAAGAAGCTGCTCCCCTTTGTTCTCAGTCTCCAGCCGGGGCTCTCCTGAGCTCCACCAGGGCTCAGGGCTGGGCCTCACTGAGCAGAGGGATGGAGGGCATGGGCTATGGGCCCCGCAGGGTCCTGCCATTGACCTACGCACCCCCACTGGCTCACTTTCCCCAGCGGCCTGGCATGTCACCAGGGAACCGGATGCCCATGGCTGGCTTGCAGGTGGGACCCCCTACTGGCTCCCCATTTGGCACAGCTGTTCCCCTGCGACCCGGCATGCCACCCACCATGATGGATCCATTCCGAAAACGCCTGCTTGTGCCCCAGGCCCAGCCACCGATGCCTGCCCAGCGCCGGGGGTAAGACATCCCTTTCTCCCACTCTGTCTAGCCTAGCTCTGGAGGAGGCAGGTTTCCTTCTAGCCTGAGAGCTTTGATAATAGAGAGAGACGTGGCTCTCTGTGCAGGTTACTGCGGACTGGGGAGGTGGGGCTGTGTGTGTCCTCCGGACCGTTAATGTCTGAAATGGGTTTCTGTCCTCTGCAGGCTGAAGAGGAGGAAGATGGCAGATAAGGTTCTACCTCAGCGAGTGAGTGTGCTGGGAAGGAGGCCGCTCAGTATGTGGCTGGCCAGGGGGAAGGCCATCTCCCCACACTCGGATGGGAAGGAAGGGAACCAGAGCTGTGTGAATCAAGCTGTTGAATTTCTTCTTCTGTAGATTCGGGAACTTGTCCCAGAGTCTCAGGCATACATGGATCTCTTGGCATTTGAGCGGAAGCTGGACCAGACCATTGCTCGCAAGCGGATGGAAATCCAGGAGGCCATCAAAAAGCCTCTGACGGTATGTGCCGCCCTGACCACCTGGGCCTTCTCAGACTTTGCTGTCCCTGCCTGGCTTTGTTTTCCGTGGCCCCTTGAGGGTCTGCATTGGGCTAGAGCGGTGTTTTTCACATGTAGGATACAGCCCATTAGAGCATGAACTCAATTTCATGTGTTTGGGCCAGTGTGGGTTTTTGTTGTTGTTGTTTTAAAATTTTATTGGAACATTTTAGATATACATAATGATCACATTCATCATAGCAAATTTGTACCTGTACAGGATATATCTTCTTTTTTCCCCATTCCCCTCCCCCCCTTCAACACCTCTTCCCCTCTTTATTTACCAAAGCTTTGTTTCCATTTTTTCCTTCTATTCGCGTTTTTCTCTTGTCCCTTCCTTCCTTTCCCCCACTCCCCTCCCTTGTTCCCCTTTTCATTTGAACATTTCCTTCCCATTTCCCAGTATCTGTTACACATTTTGGTCCTTATAGATACTTACAGTTTCTGACACCAAAGAAACAATGTGGTATGTAAACAAATGTGTGTCTGATTTATTTCACTTAAGAGTATGGTCTCAAGGTGCATCCATTTAGCTAGAGCTGTCTCAAGCTTATCCTTCTTTATGGCAGAGTATTACTCTTTTTTTTTTCGTGGGGGGTACTGGGAATCGAACTCAGGACCTTGCACTTTCCAGGCAAGTGCTTATGCCACTGAGCTACATACCCGGCCTATTCTTTGTATAAAAAAAACAACATCCTCTTTATCCATTTATCAGTTGATGGGCATCTGGGCTGTTTCCAAGATTTAACTATAACAAACTGAGCCTCTATTAACATGAGTGAGCATGTATCGCTGTGGTGTGATGCTTTTAATCCTTTGAGGAAGATACCAAGGAGGGGGAAGCTGAGTTGAATGGGATCTCTAGTCCTAATTTTTTGAGGAATCTCCACACTGATCTCCACAGTGGTTTCCCCAGTCTACACTCCTACTCACAGTGGAGAAGGGTTCCTTTTTTTAGAGCCCCACCAACAATTGTTATTGATTTCTTGATAATAGCCATATTGTTTTAATTTGCATCTCTCGAATGGCCAGTGATGTTGAAAATTTTTTCATATATTTATTTGCTGTTTCTACATCTTCATCGGAGAAATATCTATTCATTTCAGATGCCCAGTTTTGCATTGGGTCTTTAAATTTGAGGGATCTGATGTTTTCTTGAGTTCCTTATATATTCTAGCTAGTAGTCCTTTGTCTGAGGGACAAGATGTTTTTTCCCACCCTGTGGGTTGTCTCTGCACTCTGTTGGTGGTTTCCTTTGCTGTGCAGAAGCTGTTTAATGAGATGAGATCCCAGTTGATGATTCATTGTGATTATTTCCTGTGCAATTGGGGTTCTGTTCATTAAGTCTTTGCCTACACCAGTGTCTTTAGCGTTCTACCTATTCTTTTTTTTGTTTTGTTTTGTTTTCTGGTACCGGGAATCGAACTTGCACATGCCAGGCAGGCGCTGTGCCACTGAGCTAAATCCCCAACCCTGAGTTAGTTCTACCTATTCTATCTTCCAGCAGATTTAGTGTTTCTGTTTTAATATTTAGATCTTCGATTCATTTCAGTTGAAGCTTAGTGCCTGGTGAGAGATATGGATCTAGTTTTAATCTTTGGCATGTGGAAAGCCAGTTTTTCCAGCACCCTTTATTAAAGAGGTTGTCTTCTAATGAGAGTGTTTGGCTTCTTTGTCAAAGATAAGGTGGCTGTGTGTGTCTGGAGTTGTTTCTGCAGCTTCTTATCTGTTTCGTTGATCCTTCTATTTTTTTGCCAGTACTATGCTGGTTTTTGTTTTTTTCTTTTGCCTTTTTTTTTTGGTCTTTTTGAGACAGGGTCTCGCTATTTAATTCCAGCTGGGCTTGAGCTCACTTTGTGGCCCAGGCTGGTCTCAAACTCCCAACGATCCTCCTGCCTCAGCCTCCCCAGTGCTGGGACTACAGGTGTGCGCGACCACGCCCAGCACTATGCTGTTTTTGTCATAGTAATTTTGTAATTTCAAGTCAGGCATTGTGATTGGGCCAGCATGTTTTAAATGAATATAAAATAGTAAGAAATATGAAAATATTGGTATTGTTTTATGATGTTGTTTCAGATACGTATGTATTTGTGAGGATCCTGGGTGATGATTGAAAATGTAAATGTTAGCCAGGTGTGGTGACATTTGCCTGAAATCAAATCCCAATACTGTGGGAGGCTTGAGGCAGGAGGATTGAAAGTTCAAGGCCTGTTTGGACAACTTGGTGACTTCTCGAGCCCTTGTGTCGAAAAAGGGCTGAGGATGTAACTCACTGCAAAGACCCTGACTTCATTCCCTAGTACAGGGGTGGGGTGAGTAGATGATAAATAAATCTTATGGATCATGGTCAGAAGTTTGGAAGCTGCCAGATAGGGTAAAGGTTCTTTTTTCCTATCTTTAAGGAAGCTTTCTCATTTCTCTGTTTTTTTTTTTTTTTTTTTTTTTTTTTTTTTTTTTTTGGTTTTTTCTGGTACCGGGAACCGAACTCACAACCTTGCGCTTGCCAGGCAGGCGCTTTTGCCGCTGAGCTAAATCCCCAGCCCTCTCTGTTCTTTTTAAAATAATAATCTAGAATAGTCTCCTGAGTGGTGAAGACTTTCCAGGAGACTAAGATATGCTGGGGAACATTGCAGGTGCTTGGGTTGCATTTAAAATCTAAGCTGGAGGGTCCCCCACTGGCCGTGCCCTCCCACAGTGCTAGGGCTGGAACCCAGGGTCTCATGCTTGCTAGGGAAATCCTCGACCACACCCCGGCCCCAGCACCTTTGGATTTGCTTCACCGAACCCTGTACGTACCTATATACTACTACCAGTCCTACTGTGTTGGCATTGTCATTTATATACCTCTTTTCATCATAAAACTCAGTTTCTTGAAGGCCAGGACTAAGATTTATTACTTCCAGTTCCCAGCACCTAACAAGGTGTTTGGCCAGTAACAGTCAGTAATTGATTGTTGCCTGAGTTCGTATGGGACGACTGGGTAGTGATTTTTCAGTGTTGGTCTACCTCTGTTTGATTTTCTTTAGCAAAAGCGAAAGCTTCGAATCTACATTTCCAATACGTTCAGTCCCAGCAAGGCAGAAGGTGATAGTGCGGGAACTGCAGGCACCCCCGGAGGAACCCCAGCAGGGGACAAGGTGGCTTCCTGGGAACTCCGTGTGGAGGGCAAACTGCTGGATGATGTGAGTTGGGGAGGGAGGCGTCTGGAGGGAAGGTGGCCTGTGTGGGCTAAGACTGGGGCAAGACATGGGTACCCCAGAGAAGTCCGGCCATAGGGAGAGGGCACAGCTCCAGCTGTTTATTCATTTATTGGCAGTGCTGGGGACTCACCAGGGTCTTACACATGCTAGGCTGGTACCCTGCCACTGAGCTGCATACGCCCCAGCGCCAGGTTGAAGCTGTAGTTACTACAGCTTTCTTGCACATGGCGTCATTCACTGGCTGGCAGTGGGGGTGCAGCAAGGGCCTTCTCCCCGCCCGGGCCTCTCACTGTGCGAGGCTCCTCAGCGTCCTGAGCTTAAGGGTTGGAGCAGTGCTCCTTTTTTGGGCTTAGTGGCTGAGAACTCAGAAGCATCCCTATCTCACGCTCTGTTCCATTCGCAGCCTAGCAAACAGAAGAGGAAGTTTTCTTCGTTCTTCAAGAGCCTTGTCATTGAGCTGGACAAGGAACTGTATGGGCCTGACAATCACTTGGTGGAGGTGAGAGTGGCCCTAGGCCTTGGGAGCCCAGACCACCTGAAGACATAAGCCCCTTGGGTGGAGTAACGGTCTTGTTCCCCTACCGCCTACCCGCTTGGTGATAAGCTTTACGCTCCCGCCCCGCCAGTGGCACCGGATGCCCACCACTCAGGAGACAGATGGCTTCCAGGTGAAACGGCCAGGGGACCTCAATGTCAAGTGCACACTCCTGCTCATGCTGGATCATCAGGTGACAGAGAAGTCACCACAGTGGATCAGGCTGGGGCCACAGGGACTGGTCTGGGGGCGGGGAGCAGGTTCCCATGAGTCCTGCCTGCTCTTGTCCTTTGTTTTTCTCAAGAACGCCTTCTGATTGTCCCGTCTGCCCTCAGCCTCCTCAGTATAAACTGGATCCCCGGCTAGCGAGGTTACTGGGAGTGCACACACAGACGAGGGCTGCCATCATGCAAGCCCTGTGGCTTTACATCAAACACAACCAGCTGCAGGATGGGCACGAGCGCGAGTACATCAACTGCAACCGTTACTTTCGCCAGGTTCGCCTCCTTTTCCTGGGTGACACCCTGTTCGGTCCCCGCCTTGTCTGCTACTCCAGTGGGTTAGTTCTTGGTGTCTTCTGCCTGCTACCTTTGCTGCCCCTGGAGTGTTTTACTTCCTCATGCCTCAGGCTTCCTCAAGCTTTTGGTGCTCTTTCCAGATCTTCAGCTGTGGCCGGCTCCGTTTCTCTGAGATTCCTATGAAACTGGCTGGACTGCTGCAGCATCCAGACCCCATTGTCATCAACCATGTTATTAGGTAAAGGAAAGGAAGGGGAAGGGGAAGGGAAGGCTGTTGACAGCAGATGCACCCTTGGCTTGATCCCAAGCCAGAGTTGTAGGTTGGCTTCTTGCTGGGTATGCACAAAGAATGGGCCCCAGATGGCCTGAGGCGTGAGCGTCTGCTTCCTTTCCTGTCTGCTGCATGCAGTGTGGACCCTAATGACCAGAAGAAGACAGCCTGTTACGACATTGATGTGGAGGTAGACGACCCGCTGAAGGCCCAGATGAGCAATTTCCTAGCTTCTACCACCAACCAGCAGGAGATTGCCTCTCTTGACGTCAAGGTAGCCCTCTGCCTTCATACCCTCCCCTGGGGCCCAGGATGAGGGTGGGCCAGCCTGTCCTTTTACTGCAGCGCACTGGGAATGAGACTTCTGTCTGGCCTCTCGTCTATCCCTGGGAACAGGCCCCAGGGCAGGGCTTGTCTGACGCGTGTACCTCTTCCTCAGATCCATGAGACCATCGAGTCCATCAATCAGCTGAAGACTCAGAGGGATTTCATGCTTAGCTTCAGCACTGACCCCCAGGACTTCATCCAGGAATGGCTCCGTTCCCAGCGCCGAGACCTCAAGGTTAGTCCTCTTTCCTCAGGCGATCCCAAGCTCTGGGTGATTGTTGCCCCAGCACTGTCCTCCCACTTCCAAGGGCAGATTGGCTCACGGGTAGGAATTACACTAGGACTTTCCTTCTGCATTTTTTTTTTTTTTTTGAGGCAGGGTCTCGCTATGCCGTTCAGGCTGGTCTTGAGCTCACTTCTGTAGCCCAGGCTGGTCTTGAACTCACAATGATCCTCCTGCCTCAGCCTCCCGAGTGCTGGGATTACAGGCGTGAGCCACCATGCCTGGCCCTTTTTTAAATTTTTGTTTTGTTCTGTGGACTTTCCTCTGGCTCTGCAGATCATCACTGATGTGATTGGAAATCCTGAGGAAGAGAGACGAGCTGCTTTCTACCACCAGCCCTGGGCCCAGGAAGCAGTGGGGAGGCATATCTTTGCCAAGGTGAGGCTCTGCCCTTTTTGGCCTTCTTTAGTTGTGAATCACAAGATGCCTGAGCCACGTTCTTCCTTCTCCAGGTGCAGCAGCGAAGGCAGGAACTGGAACAGGTGCTGGGAATTCGCCTGACCTAACTGCTCAGGGATCTCTTCTCTGTCCTGGAGCCTGGCAGGGGACTACCCTTTGGGTCCTGGCTTGTGGCACAGACATGTAGGATGGGCTGAGGGGTGTTTCCTGGTACCCGCTACTCCCAGATTTAGTTTCATAAAGGTAGTGATAGGATTCCTTGTTGCTTGGTCCCAAAGCCTTATTACTTTCTGCATTGGCTTTAATTGGGTTCTTAAGATGCCTCCTCTGCCCCCTGCAGGCAGACCCAGGTAGGACTGCTGCAGGCCATACTTCGGCATTCTTAGGAACCAAAGGCTGCTGGGTTTGCATGTTTACAGGCTCTCCTCCTGGGCCACTGTCAGAGCTGAGTATGGGGAGCTGGGCAAGGAAGAGGAGGCCCAGCCTAGACTCTTCTTAGCCTTTCTAAACCAAAGTTCTTTGCCATTCCTACAAGCCCAGCCTTGCTGCTGGCTTTTTCCTTTCCTTTGGGTATTTGCACTATGTGGGGAGCAGGTTTTTCTATGTGGGAGCCACTTTTTTGTACAGGGGGAAGTTGGGGTTTTTCAGGGAGCCCTATTTGGTGCCTCCTTCCTTGTATTTTCTCAATCTATGCAAGCGGCTGTGGCCGCCATCATCTCCTGGGATCCCTCCCGGGGTGGGGGTGGAACCTCTGAGAGCGAGGGGCTGTACCAATTCTTCAGCCTGGCCGAGGTAGGGGGCATGCATGGCAGAGGGCAGGGTAAGGTGAGGGTGAGCCTGGGAGGACTGTTTTGCCCTTTGGAACTCGGTGAGCTTAGGGCTTGGCAAATGCCACTTCTGGCCGGTTTGGAAATTCCAAATAAATTCTTTTGTTTATTGGTGGTGCCTAGACCTGGTCATTGAGCAGTGTGGCCACTCTAACAGACCAGAGTCCTACAGGGCTTGTTGTACAGATCTTTATTTGAAGGATACACAAAAAAGACATCCCCTCACTTCCATAACTTTTTGATGGACATGTTTTTCTCACTATCCTTCTGCATGACCTAGAGAGAAAGAGAGCACACCCACGTGAGCGTTAGTCGTGAACACAGGCCTCAGTCTCTGCTCCACAGCCACTGTCAGCAAAAGGGGAAGAGTGGAGGCACGTACCTTGGCTACTGCCATCTCAAAATCTTCCTGGGTGACGTGGACTCGCCGTTCCCGCAGTGCATACATGCCAGCCTCTGTGCACACACCCTGAGCAGGAAAAGGAAGCTCAGGCACTGCTGCTCCCTCAGCCTCAGATGCCCCTTGAACCCAGGGCTTCCTGCTACTCTTGTGTTGCCCTGAGACTCCAGTTACCTTAACCTCAGCTCCTGAGGCTCCTGGCATTAGCTCAGCAATTTTTCTCAAGTTGATCCCTCGGGTCAGGTTCATTTTCCGGGAATGGATTTTCAGAATGTCCAGCCGGGCCTAGGGATGCAGAGGAGAGCCCTTGGTCCCACACCCTCTCCCCACAGCCAGAGGCGCTCCGGGTGCTGCCCATCACAGACCTCCTCGTTGGGGGGTGGGAATTCAATTTTTCTGTCGATGCGCCCTGGGCGGAGCAGTGCAGAGTCCAGGATGTCAATCCTGTTGGTAGCCATGATAACCTGAGCAGACAGAAGGAGTAGAATGAGCTAAGCTGTTGGCCTGCAGCTCACCCGAGGCCTCCCCCTGGCTGGTCCCAAGGCCCGCACCGCTCCACCTTGATATTCTTGGTGGCCTCAAAGCCATCGAGCTGGTTGAGCAGCTCCAGCATTGTGCGCTGCACTTCACTGTCTCCCCCAGAGCCGCCCTCCAGCCGAGAGGAGCCGATGGAGTCGATCTCATCCATGAAGATGATGGACGGGGCGTGTTCTCGTGCCATGACAAACAGCTCCCTCACCATTCTTGCCCCTGTGCAGAGACGCAGCTGGCATTAGAAGCTACGGAGCTTCTCAGCCTCTGCCCTGCTGCTCGGTTCTCATTCCTAGCCACAGTTACCTTCCCCAATGAATTTCTGTACCAACTCCGAGCCAGAGACACGAATAAAGGTACAGTCTGTATGATGCGCCACAGCACGGGCCAACAGGGTCTTCCCGGTGCCTGGGGGTCCATACAGCAGCACTCCCTACAGGGAAACATCAGGACTCAGGGCAGAAAGCAGGCTTCACGTCGTTCAGTGAACATTTTACCCTGTGCTAGCTTTACGCTTGATCCTTTGCTACAGGCTATAGACGCCCCCTTCTAGAGCTTTTATCTAAACCAGCGTAGTACCTTGGAAACAGCTCTCCCTGAGCTGGTGCTATTTCGCAAAAAGGACAGCCCAAGCAGGCTGCCGCCTGTCCCAACCCCAGCACTCGATCTGGCCTGGGGCAGGAGTAAGAACAGCCAACCTATACAGCTTCTCACGGAAGCCTCGTCCTCACCTTTGGCTGGGCAATGCCCAGGGCTTCAAAGAGCTCAGGGTGCTTCACGGGCAGCTCAATCACTTCTTTGATCTCCTTAATTTGCTTGTCCAATCCACCAATCATCTCATAGGTCGAGTCTGGCACCTTTTCCACCATCATGAGTGACACCAGAGGGTCTACCTTGTTGGGTAGGATCTTGTGCAGAGTGTAGCTGTCGTTCCTTAGGGCCACCCGGCAGTTGGGTGTCACCTGGATGCAAGTGGCAAGTTTCAGAAAGTAGAACAGTACGAGCTGACCCCACCCCCTACTCACCTGCTACACTCACATCATTGATGTCAATGTTCTTGTCCACGTCTACGACAAACTTGCCCTCGGGATGTACCTGAAGAAATAAGGGCTCGTGACCTTTTTTAAATCACCAAGTCACCACTCCACCGAAGAAGACCCATGAGATTCTAGAATAACATAACAACACTGTCCTCAAGGCTACACACAGGGCGGGAGAGCAGAGGGGGGCAGGCTGGTCCCTGGAGTCATGTTGCCTTTACCTTGACCAACACTTTCTTCTTATCCATGGCCCGGACTACTTCACCCACATAGGAGCCCTGTTCCTGCAGCAGCTGTAGCTCTTCCCGCAATAGGCGAACTAGATGGCAAATAGACACAGTGGTCACCAGTTTCTCTTTTGGTGACCCCCTCCCTGGGGATTTACTTCAACATGCACAAACTAAGTACAGCATCATTTTGAATTCTGTCTCTCTCTTACACACTTACACACACGCACACACATGTCCCAAAGGGAGTTACAATGGAATTCTAGGCACACACGAGTTCTGTGGAACATATGACTCATCAAAAAGATCCCTCAGCTGGGCACGGTAGCCAGCACACACTGTAATCCCAGCACTCTGAGAGGCCTAGGCAGGTGGATCACAGGTTCCGGTCCAGCCTGGGCAACTCAGTGAGACTCCATCTCAAAATAAAACATAAAAAAGGGGCTGGGGAGGTAGCTCAGTGCAAAGACTTGGGTTCAATCCCCAGTATGACTGTGTGAGAGTGTGTGTGTGTGTGTGTGTGTGTGTGTGTGCGCACGTGTGTGTGCCACTGAGACCTAAGGAGGTGGGCAACCTAACTAAGGCCACCTAGAGTGGCAGCAAATAGGCCAGACAGCTCTGCCTAGCGCTGTCCGGCAGGAGGCAGGACTTGACCCTGTCCAGGACTCCTGGGCCACCAGGCTCCCATGTTTTCTCTGTCCCCTTCCATCTCTTTCTGTGTCACACATACACTATCTCACTCTTCACCTCCCTCTCTCCCCTTTCTTCCCCTTGCTTTTTATCCTTTGACATTTTCTTTCAAGCAGAAAAGAAAAACATTTACCGTGGAACTCTAGATAGCGGTGTGCATGGGAAACAACCATAATGATGGTGTGAAGTATCACCTTGGACTAAGAGGAAACTGCTGTGAGGCTGCAGGTCAGGGGCATTAGGAACGGCCAGACTTTAAGCCATCCACATGCAGCTTCCCATCTATCCCCCTCACCTTTTGCATTTAGCTCATTCCTCTGTGCCTGCAGCCTCCGAAGGTTTTGGCTCTTATCATTCACAATCAGCTGTGGAAAGCAAGAAACAGATTCTGTTACTCCACGTCAACAGACAGGAGGCACGAACTTAGCCAGGACCTTCACAGGCAAGTGTAAGCCGCAGGCAGGGCCCTGGTGCCTCTATGCTCAGATTCTCCGGCAGGATGCTAATGACCCTGTCCTGTCCTTCAAGAGTTCTCTTTAGAGCCTGGGGTAGCCGTCACAAAAGGCAGCTTGGGAAACATTACAGTAGCTTTCCTTTGTTTTTGCACTGGGGATTGAATTTAGGGCTTTAGCACTGAACTACATTTCCCAACCCTTTTCATTTTTTTCCGGTACCAGGACTCGAACTCATGACCTTGTGCTTGCCAGGCAGGTGCTGTGCCACTGAGCTAAATCCCCAGGCCCCCTTTTCATTTTTTGAGATAGTCTCACTAAGTTGTCTTAAGTGGGACTTGAACCTGTGATCCTCCTGGTTCAGCTTCCCAAGTGCTAGGATATACATACTTTCTTATGGGGAGGCAACGTTTCATAGTGGAAAGATTTTTAGGTAGGAAATCTGAGTTCTAGCTCAGCAGTCATCAATTAAAAAGGAAGTAAAGCACTAGGGATATACCTCAGTGGCAGAGTACTTGCCTAGCACATGTAAGGCCCTGGGTTTGATCTCTAGTATTGCAAAAACAAATAAATCAAATATAATAACGACAAGTGTACCTGGAGCTTAATTTTTCTCCTGCCTTTCCTCACACGTTATTACTGTTGTTATTTCTCTGTCTTAGCGGTTTTGGCTAACACACCGAGACGCCCAGTTCTTTCCGTTCAGTCTTCATGACATCAGGGTTGTCCAGACTTCTCAGTGCTATCCCTCCCCAAGTTGCATCTCACTTAGCCCCAGCCTCTTCCTGATAAATCTCATCTCCTGAGTCCTGTCTCTCCTTTTTAAAGAAACCCCTGCACTTATACTTCCCCAGCAAGGTTACAGTCCTGGGCTAGTAAACTTTTGTATTACAATTTCTTGGAAACTATGTAACAAAGTGTGAGTACTACTGCCCTTAAAGGGGTGGGGCTTAAGGACAATAAGGGTTTTTTTTCTTCCTTCATTCCCTGGAGACAGGGTCTCTATGTAGTTCAGGCTGACCTCAGGTTATACTCCTGCCTCAGCCTCCACAGTGCTGGGATTACAAACTGTGCCACTGCCCAGCTACTTGTTACTTCTTACAGGGATACTTTTCCAAGTACTAGAAACAAAATAGGTAAATAGACCAGGCACGGTGTTGCTGGCAGAGGCCAGCCCGGGCTACAACAGTGAGTTCAAGTTCAGCCTGGACTATGCTGAAAGACCCTGCCTTGCAAAACAAAAACAAACGAAACCCCTCCCCTAAACAAGAAAAAAACCTTTTTCACTGCAGTATAGACGGAATTTGCGGAAAATCTCCCATCAGTCCTCATCCCCTCCTAGATCCCTCTAGTTAGTCCTCACCTGGAGTTCTTCAATCTTGGACAGATAATACTGGCGGAGCCCGCTGCCTGCCTTGCCCTCTTCCAGCTCCATCTGAAGACACATTGTGGTTAGTGAACAGGAGACTGAGCTCTCGAGGAGTAAAACCACTTCCAGGGCATTTCACCACCAGGCTCAGTGTCAGGCAGCTCTGCGGGCGGGAGAGCTCGGACTTCGCATGGTTAATATCTGGGTTCTGATCCTTCACTCCTTTCCTCTGCAATCTCCATTTCCCCGTGATTAAAATAAAAAAACACCGACTATCTCCTTAAGGCTTTTAGGAGACCGAGAGACCACGTACGCGGGAGCCCTTGGAATTCTGGCCAGTGTCATACAGACTCGAGGTTTTACTACTACATAGACTGAGCCAGAAGGACAGACGGTCACG